CGGCTGCCCGTTACTTGGAATGACCTGGGAAGCTTTAGGGACTGTGGCTGCCCCAACAGTGCCCTGCGCCATTCCGAGATTCCAAGAGCAGCTCCTGTGTGCAGGCTGGGCATGGGTTCCAGGTCATTCCAGGGGCAGCCGGGGTGGGGACCGCTGCCCTAGGTTCCCCGTCAAGGCTGACTGACCTGTGCACTGAAGAACTGGCCGCCGCTGATACGTGGCAGGAATAAGATAAGATGAGCTCTCCCAGGGCTGATTTGAGCACGAACATATCCCATCTTCAGTTCCCGGAGCAGTGCTGGAACAGAAAGCTCTGCTCTGCTCTTCTTTCTCATGAGGATGTGGAGGCACCAAGAAGTCAAGGAACCAGCCCAAGGTCACACAGCTTGCAAGGGGTGGTGCTGGAGAAGCCAGGCAGCCTCCAAACTTCTCTTCACCCAGTTCTCTTCTCCTGCTGTCACACCTCTGGGCCCGGGAGGGGAGTCTCACTCTGTCTCCCAGGCCGGAAAGAAGTGGTGTAATCTCGATTTACTGCAACCTCGCCTCCCAGGTTTAAGCAATTCTCGTGCCTCAGCCTCCCGAGGAGCTGGGATTACAGGCAGCTGCTACCACGCCCAGCTAATTTTTGTGTTTTTAGTAGTGATGGGGTTTTGCCATGTTGACCAGGCTGGTCTCAAACTCCTGACCTCACGTGATCCACCCACCTCAGCCCCGCACAAAGTGCTGGGATTACAGACGTGAGCCACCACACCCGGCCCCTCCACCCTCGTGTCTCAGGGTGGCATCTCTCTCCTCCATGGCTGTGTTCTGGAATCACCTGTGGCCTCTTATTTTCTTCTTCGGTGACAACAAGGAGCAGCTGGGCTGGTCCAGATGAAGGCTGATTCAGAGGCCAATCTCTGGTTTTCTGGGCTTCCTCTTGGAAACCTTCCTGCCTTTGAAACCACACCCCAGAGGCATCCCGGGGCTCACCCTGCAGGTGCTGTGTGAAGCCCTCTGGGATTAAATAGAACACGGAACACCCTGTTCGGTCTCAAATTACTAGAGGGCTCCCCTCACCTCTAGGCCTCCCCAAATGCTCACAGTGGGGATGCTGGGAACAGGAGTTCACAAAAGGTTGCGTTCACTCAAGGGGGAACAAATTTGGACTCACTAGGGGGACAGACTTGCCCAAAGCCTCAGGCCCACCTGGAAGGGCTATACAAATAAGACCCAGGGATGCCCAGGTATACGAATAATACTCGGGAGGCTGAGGCATGAGAATTGCTAGAACCTGGGAGGCAGAGGTTGCCATGAGCTGAGATCATGCCACTGCACTCCAGCCTGGGTGACTGAGACTCTGTCAATTAAAAAAAAAAAAAAAAAGGACCGGGCGCGGTGGCTCAAGCCTGTAATCCCAGCACTTTGGGAGGCCGAGGCGGGTGGATCACGAGGTCGAAAGATCGAGACCATCCTGGTCAACATGGTGAAACCCCGTCTCTACTAAAAATACAAAAAAAAAAAACTAGCTGGGCGTGGTGGCGCGTGCCTGTAATCCCAGCTACTTAGGAGGCTGAGGCAGGAGAATTGCCTGAGCCCAGGAGGCGGAGGTTGCGGTGAGCCGAGATCGCGCCATTGCACTCCAGCCTGGGTAACAAGAGCGAAACTCCGTCTCAAAAAAAAAAAAAAAAAAAAAAAAAAAAGGACCGGGCGCCGTGGCTCAAGCCTGTAAGCCCAGCACTCTGGGAGGCCGAAGCAGGTGGATCACCTGAGGTAGGGAGTTCAAGACGGGCCTGAACAACACGGAGAAACCATCTCTACTAAAAACACATAATTACCCGGGCGTTGTGGTGTGCACCTGCAGTCCCAGCTACTCTGGAGGATGAGGCAGCAGAATCACTTGAACTGGGGAGGTGGTTGCCGTGAGCCAAGATCGCGCCACTGAGCACTCCAGTCTGGCGACAGAGCAAGACGCCTTCTCAAAAAAAAAAAAAAAGAAAGAAAGACCCAGGGAGATGGTTTGAAACTGTTTCTGCAAGCATTTGTGTGTCTGTGACTGGCTTTTGAGTTTCTGCATAACGTGGGTGTGCCCACGTGGCTGAGTGAATCTAAGTGTCTAGCAGTGTGTGATGTGTCATGTTGACGTTTGCAAGTATGGCCGTGTTTGTGTGAATGAGTCTGCGACTGTGTAGGTCTGTGTGCCTCTGTGAGTACATGTGTGCACTCCATGTGTGTGTCCGTGTATCTGTGTATGTGTATGGGCAGGTTAATCATAGTTCCGTTTGTGAACATGGGCCTGACAGTGGTGCCTGTGTGTGTGCATGTGTCTGTGGTGTGTACGGTGCCTGTGTGTCTGGGTCCGAGTGTGGATGTGTATGTGTGTGCACAGGTGTGTGGCCGTGTGAGGGACTGACCCCGTGTTGCCCAAGGGCGGCTGATGTCTGTGAAATCCACACAGCTCCATGTTAAATCCATCTTGCCGCTTGTCTGGGGTCCACATCGCTTTCCTCCTCATGGCCCCTGATGTTCCTGAGACGCCCCCCCCGCCATAGCTCTGGGCACTACAGGAAGGGGGAGAAAACCTCGCTCTGAGGCTTCAAGTCATTTCCTGCTTTCATGCCGTCTTCTCCTCCCAGCTCTGTCTCTGCTGTTCCTTTTTACCTTCCAGCTCCCCAGGTGGTTCGGGTCCCCATGGTCACGAAATCTCTGTGCTCCAAGGTGGGCAGCCGCAAAGGACAGCCGCCTCCCCCCCCGCCCCACCGACTACCAACCAGAATCTTCCCACCCAGCCTCTCTTTCTCCCACATCTGCAAATCTTCCCCTCCAGGTGAGGTCCATGGCTTGTATTTCCTCCAAACCCCACCAGTGCCTCATTCTTGCCAGGCTGTGAGCCATGGACTACACAGCCAAGTATCCACCACCATGAACAACGGGGCTCCAGCAAGGCCACATGGCACGCCAGGCGGCAAACAGCGCCAACAGTAAGCACTCCATTCAGAAAGGAGCAGAATGGGGTTTGGTGGCTCACTCCCGTAATCCCAGTGCTCTGAGAAGCCGAGGCAGGAGGATCGCTTGATCCAGGAGTGCAAGAGAGCCATGACTGCAATGCTGCACTCCAGCCTGGGTGACAGAGCGAGACCCTAGCTTAAAAGAAATAAAAGAAAGCCGGGCGCGGTGGCTCAAGCCTGTAATCCCAGCACTTTGGGAGGCCGAGGCGGGTGGATCACGAGGTCGAGAGATCGAGACCATCCTGGTCAACATGGTGAAACCCCGTCTCTACTAAAAATACAAAAAATTAGCTGGGCATGGTGGCGCGTGCCTGTAATCCCAGCTACTCAGGAGGCTGAGGCAGGAGAATTGCCTGAACCCAGGAGGCGGAGGTTGCGGTGAGCCGAGATCGTGCCATTGCACTCCAGCCTGGGTAACAAGAGCGAAACTCCGCCTCAAAAAAAAAAATAAATAAAAGAAATAAAAGAAAAGAAAAAACAGAAAAGGAAAGAAGGAAGGGAGGGAAGAAGGAAGGAAAGGAAAGGAAAATAGAGAAAAAAAGAAGGAAACGAAAGAGAAAGAGGGCAGGTGCGGTGGCTCACACTTGGAATATCAGCACTTTGGGAGGCTGAGGTCGGCAGATCACGAGGTCAGAAGTTTGAGACCAGCCTGGCCAACACAGTGAAATCCCGTCTCTACTAAAAATACAAAAAATCAGCCAGGTGTGGTGTCGGGCACCTGTAGTTTCAGCTATTCGGGAGACTAAGGCAGGAGAATCGCTTGAACCCAGGAGGCAGAGGTTGCAGTGAGCTGAGATCACGCCACTGCACTCCAGCCTGGGCGACAGACAGAGACTCTGTCTCAAACAAAAAAGAAGAAAAGGAAAGAAGGAAGGAAGGAAGGAGGGAGGGAGGAGAGTGAAAGACAACAACAAAAGGAGGGGCTGGGACAAAATTCTTTACCTCGCAGAGAAAAAAAGTAAGAAACTCAGGCTAGGCCTACACCAGTTAGGTAGACAGAACTGGTCCTTGGACCTCCTTCATGAACTCCCTTCTCTCCTGCCCTCAGCAAGGCTGCAGTGTGGTCATTTGCTGTTTTCACTGCTGGGGGTTTTGGGGATACAAAGCAATACAGAGGCCCCCAGCTTCCTCCTAACCTCCACAGGGCCTTAGCAACCCAATTTCTTCCCAATTATAAGAAGCAATTGGCCAGGTGCAGTGGCTCATGCCTGTAATCCCAGAACTTGGGGAAGCCAAGGTGGATTGATCAGTTGAGGTCAGGAGTTCGAGACCAGCTTGGCCAGCATAGTCAAACCCCGTCTCTACCAAAAATACAAAAATTAGCCTGGTGTGGTGGCACAGGCCTGTAGTTCCAGTTACTCGAGAGCTGAGGCTGGAGAATTGCTTGAATGCTTGAACCCGGGAGGCAGAGATTGCAGTGAGCCAAGATCTCGCCACTGCACTATAGCCTGGGAGACAGAGTGAGACGCCATCTCAAAAAAATAATAATATAATAAAAGGGCCGGGCATGGTGGCTCACGCCTGTAATCCCAGCACTTTCGGAGGCCAAAGTGGGTGACTGCCAGAGCTCAGGAGTTTGCAGCCAGAGTCTGGGCAACATGGTGAAACCCCATCTCTACTAAAAAAAAAAAAAAAAAAAAAAATTAGCTGGGTGTGGCGGCGGGTGCCTGTAGTCCCAGCCACTTGGCAGGTTGAGGCAAGAGAATTGTTTGAACCCAGGAGGCAGAGGTTGCAGTGGGCTGAGATCGAGCCACTGTACTCCAGCCTGGGCGACAGAACGAGACTCTGTCTCAAAAAAGGAAAAAAAAAGAAGCAATTAATACATAATACACCACACCCCGTCTTTTGGGCCTTTTCCTAGTGCAATGATTTTTCAATGTGTCCTGTAGCTGAGTTGCCCAGATCTTTGTGGAGCTTGATCCAAACAGAATTCAGAGCCACACAGACAGCGCTAACAAATCCACATCTCTGGTGCCAAGGGCCCAAGAATCTGTTTTTCAAATACACTTTCTGGATGCTTTTACCGTACCTGGTAACCAGGATCGGGCGAGGTGTGCAAACCCACGGCCCCGTCCCCTCCAAACCAGCAGAGCCCAGGCGCACGAGGGTGACAGGTGAAGTGACAACATAAACACAGGTGTCTCCACCATCAAGGATGGGAGTGAAACTGACAGCAAGGGCCAGGTCACCCCCAGAGCATTCGTCAGTTGCCAAGTCCAAAGCTAAGAAATCAGTTCGTGAAAGTTTTTTATTTGCATGTTGGCTCAAGCCTTCTTTTTAAGTCTAAGGACGCAGTCAACAGTAAGTGTGCAGGCCAAGGGAGACAGAAAATGGAGGCAGTTTCTCCCCTGCCCTCCCTCTCTCCCGTTTTCAAGCTGAGCACTTTGAGTTGCATTTGAGGAAGTTAAAACTATGGGTGATGCCACCCTATTGTATGGATTTCTTTCTTTATATTCTTTGGGTTGCTACAAGGAATCAGTCTGTTTTTTAAAATGAGGCGGTGCACGTGGTGGCTCACACCTGTAATCCCAGCGCTTTGGGAGGCCGAGGCAGGAGGATCACTTGAGGCCAGAAGTTTGAGGCTGCAGTGAGTTACGATCATGCCACTGCACTCCAGCCTGGGCAACAGAGTGAGACCCTGTCTCTAAAAAAATAGCAATAAAAAATCAAAGCATGAGACTAAATTTTAACAAGAGAATAAAGAGGGTGCTTAGCTGGAGATGTGGGCAACATCCACCTCCGTTTCCAGGTTCAGAGGCAGAAAGAGCACCTCTTTCCCCCACACTTGGAGGGAGGGCCCATGGGCTGTCCCTAGCTCTCACCTCACAGCTGGTCTTCTTCTTCTCCTTGCTCAGCTTCTGCTCTGGCCTCGGCCCTCAGCACCCTGAGGTTCCTGGCCTCACCTGCCCTAGGGACTCTCTTGGGCAGGGCTGGCAACCGGGGAGTGTGCCAGAAAGCTCTCCGGCGCTTGCGAAACCACGAAAAGCGTCCAGGGGTCTGGAACCTCACTGTCTTGACCTGTTTCCCGGCCCTGGCTCCTGGAGCTGTCCCTGTGGCCCCTTGGGCAGCTTCAGCTTCAGCTTCCTGGATGCCTGGGGCACCTGCCCTCTGATTACGTGCAGCCTCTGCCCTGTGGTCCGCCACGGCCTGTGCCCTCTGATTATCTGCACCCTGGACAGCTGGGGCCCTTTCCCTCTGGTCATGTACGGCCTCTTCCCTTTGATTACCTGCAGCCTCTGACCCCTGGTCAGCTGGGGCCTCTGCCCTCTGATTATCAGCAGCCTCTTCCCTCTGGTTATCTTCGCCCTGTGGCCCCTGCTCAGCTGGGGCCTCTTCCCTCTGATTATCAGCAGCCTCTTCTCTCTGGTTATCTGCAGCCTCTGCCCCCTGGTCAGCTGGGGCCTCTTCCCTCTGGTCAGCTATGGCCCCTTCCCTCTGATTATCTGCAGCCTCTCCCCCTTGGTTAGCCTGCAAGTCTGCCCCCTGACCTGTGGATGCTGCCTGCTCCTTCCTGCGGCGTCGAAAGGAGGCCCAGTTCACCTTGGGCCTCCATCGCCTGGGGGAGGTCTGGGGCGCACAGACATCTCCCGCGTTTCCCACGCGATCCCTGGGGTTGCTGCCGTCTGGCGCGGATGATACCCCAGCGCTCCCCGCTGCGGTGGAGGACAGCCGGGCCTGGCCCACCCCGGGTCCCGCCCTCGGCGCCCAACCCTTCACCCTCCGCTTCAGCTTCCCCCAGGACACCTGGCTGACATACTCCCGCCACCTGTCCGCCTTGGACAGCCGAGGCCCCAGGTTGTCCTCAAACATCGGCACTGGCCGGTTGACGCGGCGGCGGGCAGGCGGCGCGCTGGGCTGCTTCTCCCCTCGCCGGAGGAAGGCCTCGACCAGTTCCTCATCATCCTCGCTCTCCAGGTCGCTGCCCAGGAACTTGCTGCCCAGGTAGCTGACCGGCATTCTGCGCACCGCCTTGCCCCGCCGCGGGCCCTGGCGGCTCTGGTCTCTGGAGGTCTCGAACTCGCTCAACTCACTGTCGCTGGCGTTGCTGCTGTCGTAGGTGCCGACGACCAGCCGGGGCGGAGGAGTCACCATCTGCTGCACTCTCCTCCTCATTCGGGGCTCTTTGGGCTTTGTGGGGGGCTGGGGCGGGTGCGGGGTGCTCTTCTCGATGATGCGGGCCACGTCCTCCAGGGTGCGGCCCTCTTCTTCCAGGAACTGGATCAGCCGCTCCCGAAATTCTGCTTCCTTGGTGGCGGGCTTGGAGATGACTCTCCAGACGCCCCCGGCCAGCCTGACCTCCCGCGGGATGAGCAAATAGTCGACGTCCTCCCCGATCTGCAGCATCCCCACCGTGGAGTCCTCCTCCTTGCGAAACACCTTCCCGATCTTCTTAAAGGTCCCCACGGGCTTCAGGGCTTCCACGAGGACGTCCAAATCCACATCTTTGCAGACATCGGGGACGCTCCAAAGAATCAGGCAGTCGGGAGACGGGAGGAAGCCCCAGGGGAACCAGCCCCCTACGTGGCTTTTCTCGAGAGTCTTTAAGATCTCCAGGGTGATATCTGGAGTGAAGGGGCAATGAGCCCCAACAAGCTACTGTCGCCCTTAGTCTTGAGGGAGGGACCGGAGGCCCGGGGAGTGCCAGCAACGCTGATCGGAGAGTCACCTCCCCAAGCCAGGGACGAGCCCACGCCTCCTATCTCTTCGCCTGCAACAAGTCCAGTGTTGACCAAGTCCTGCTCCCCCACCACGGACTTGGAGGAATCAATTTCCAGGATGCTTACGTCAGCGGGGGCGAGGTTAGTCCCTAGGCTCAAGGCCCACTCCAAGCTGGAAACGTGGTGTTCCAGCTCCAAGTTGGGGCGCGCGAGTTGCCAGCGATTCTTCCTGCCCCAGGCACCGGGGACACGGCTGGAACTTAGGAGAGGACTTCGCAGACAAAGACGGTCCAGCCCAGGCTATTCAATATGGCCGAGGGGCTGGGAAGCCTCAGCCCGGCCCCCTAGTTGGGTACCCCGCCCCCAGGCAGGCCGCCACCCAGCTCCAGGCTGACCTTGACACGCCGCAGCCCTCCAGGCCGCGCGCTTAGGGCTTTGCACCGTGGAGCGCAGGGGCAGGAAGTTCCTCCTCGCCCGCCCCCAGAATGAGGCCCACCTTCCCCCGTCTCATCTTACACTCCCGGACTCGGGAAGACTGACAGGGGGGCTGTCCACTCCCTTCGGGCCGGCCTCCCTCCCCTCCCCCACAGGGGTGTGGCCTCCCCCGGGCCTAACTGGGGCCACTGCTTCCCGGCGAAGTGGCTGTGACCCAAGTCAGTACCTTTCCTGAAAGGCAGCGGTTCCCAGACCTGGCCTCCGAAATGGACAAGTCCCAGCCAAGCCCTGGAGGTGGCTGTGCTAGTGGATTCGACCTTTTGAGAGCCACTGGCACTATAGATGAGCATTCTAAATTCACGCCACAATCGGTACCCGTACACCCACACGCGTGGGTAGAGAAATGGGTACCAGGTTCTTATTGCAACAGTCCCCACTGTGGCGCTTGGCACGAGGTCGGGGCTCAATGCATCTTTCTGAGTGGATGAATAACCTAAATGTTCATGGCCCGGCGTGGTGGCTCACACCTGTAATCTCAGCACTTTGGGAGGCCAAGGCGGGTGGAACAAACACTTGAGGCCTGGCCAACGTGGTGAAACCCTCCTCTGTACACACACATACACACACACACACAAATACAAAAATTAGCCGGCCCGGCCGGGGGCGGTGGCTGGCGCCTGTAATCCAGGCACCTTGGGAGGCCGAGGTGAGCGGATCACTGGGGTCAAGAGATACACCATCCTGGCTAACACGGTGAAACCCTGTCTCTACTAAAAATACAAAAATATCAGCCAGGCATGGTGGCCGGTGCCTGTAATCCCAGCTACTCGGCAGGCTGACAGGAGAATCACTTGAACCTGGGAGGTGGAGGCTGCAGTGAGCCGAGATCAAGCCACTGCACTCCAGCCTGGCTGACAGAGCTAAATTCCGTTTAAAAATAAAAATAAAAAAATAGCCGGACGTGGTGGTGTGCGTGTGTAGTCCCATCTACTCTGGAGGCTGAGGCAGGAGAATCTCTTGAAGTTAGAGGTGGAAGTTGCAGTGAGCCAAGATTGGGCCACTGCACTCCAACCTGGGTGACAGAGGGAGACTCTGTCTCAAAAAAAGCAGTGCAAAAAAACACAAACAACAAAAAAATCCCTAAATGTTCATGAGTAGAGACTGTCTCTATTTGATGGTAGTGTCTTACAGTGAAATATTTTGCAGCTTTGAACAAAAAGAATGAGATGGCTAAGGATAGGCACTGTTTATGAGGCACTTCCTATCTTTCTAAGAATGGACTCGGGAAATCCTTGCTATAACAGGAAACTTGTAACATGAGTACCATTCCCATTAGACAGCTGAGGAAACTGAGGCCCGAAGACATGAAACCACTCTCTCAAGGTCACAGCCAGGAAGTGGTTGTTTGGATTTGAATCCAGAATAGTCTGCCTTCAGTCTCAACATGTGTACCAATGGTAGACGCATGTACAAGCACTGCCAAGAGTGGCTGTTTCTAGGGAGGAGAACTGGGAGAGACATGCACTTTTCACTCTACACCCTTTTGGAATGATTGAATTTTTAGCAATCAAAAATGTTCATTAAGGTCTAGTGAGGTAGTTCAGGCCTTTGAAAGGCCACGACCAATGAATCACTTGAGCCCAGGAGTTCCAGACCAGCCAGGGCAACATGATGAAACCCCATCTCTACAAAAAGTCAAAAAAGGCCGGGTGCGGTGGCTCAAGCCTGTAATCCCAGCACTTTGGGAGGCCGAGGCGGGTGGATCACGAGGTCGAGAGATCGAGACCATCCTGGTCAACAAGGTGAAACCCCGTCTCTACTAAAAATACAAAAAGTTAGCTGGGCATGGTGGTGCGTGCCTGTGATCCCAGCTACTTAGGAGGCTGAGGCAGGAGAATTGCCTGAGCCCAGGAGGCGGAGGTTGCGGTGAGCCGAGATCGCGCCATTGCACTCCAGCCTGGGTAACAAGAGCGAAACTCCGTCTCAAAAAAAAAAAAAAAAAAAAAAAAAAGTCAAAAAAGTAGCAGGAGGTGATGTAGTCCCAGCTACTTGGGAGGCTGAGGTGGGAGGGTCGCTTGAGCCCAGGAGGTTGAGGCTCCAGTGAGCTGTGATCATGTCACCACACTCCAGCCTGGGTGACAGAGATGCTGTCTCAAAAAAAAAAAAAAAAAGTTAAAATAACACACATAAAAACAAAAAAACTTACATAAAATCGAAAGTCCTTAGACCACACAATGCACATGAAGGGTCAGAATGCCCAGGACGTGGGAAATTTGCAGTGTCTCAGGTAATTCCGAGACAACCAGCTCTGCAGATGTACAACAACCACAACAGTGGGATTAGTAATAATAACACTTAACTTGCATTTAGTGTATCTTTGGAACAAGACATCCAGAGATATGCTGAATGGGCCTCGTTGCTAGAAATCCTCAGAGGCGCATGGTAAACGAGTGCCATCACAATCTTCTTTTTACAGGTGGGGAAACTGAGGCTGGTCTGAAGTCGGGAGGCTGAGGCAGGAGAATCGCTTGAACCCGGGGTAACGGAGGCTGCAGTAAGCCAAGATCGCGTCATCGCACTCCAGCTTGTGCAACAAGAGCGAACCTCCGTCTCAAAAACAAAAACAAATACAAAAATTAGCCGGGCGTGGTGGCACATGCCTGTAATCCCAGCTACTGGGGAGGCTGAGTCACGAGAATTGCTTGAACCCTGTAGATGGACGTTGCAGTGAGCCAAGATCGCGCCACTACACTCCAGCCTGAACGACAAAGCAAGTCTCCGTCTCAAATAAATAACCAAACAAATAAAATACATGGGATCTTATTTAACTCATAAAGGAGCCAGGCAAATGTTTAGGGAACCGAAGAAAAAGAGAGGGAAAGAAAAGCTGCGCGGGGCTTAAGGGAAGTTAAGGTCTCAGTGAGGCCTGTTCACAATTAGCGGCTTATTCAGGTTGTTTTTCTCCTGCAGAACCAGGTGGTTGGGCTTCGCTGGATTTTTCTCCTGTTCCTCACTGGCTTGGTCCCAGCCGCAGCGCTCTCTCTTTGCCCCCGGGCCTCCCGCAGCCCCACCCCCGCGCGCAGTTTGTGGCCTCCGCAGTCCGGCGGTCTCCATGGCAACCACGGGACGCGCTCTCCAGCGCTGGTCTAAGCTGAGCCGGTGGAGCGGAGGCGGAGGCGGAGGCGGAGGATGCAGGGAGATGGTGGGGGTGGGGCGCCACGGTGGGCGAGCGTGAGGGGCGGGGGCGGGGGCGAGGGCGAGGGCAAGGGCAAGGGCGGGGGCGGGCAGTTCCTTTTTTCTGCCCCTGGTGCCTCCCTTAGTCCTCATCCCCAAAACCAGCTTTTCTGAAAAGCTGTTTGTAGAAACCAAAAAATGAAAAATCCTAAGGGCACCTAGGTTTCAGGAATGCTGGTTAAAGAATCTTAAGTCTGAGAGGTCAGGACAGTGCCTTCCACGTGGTGACCTCGCAGATGAGACGTTTGGGCATGGTAGTCATAAAAGGGCTTTGGTTGTGTTAGTTTTGTTTAGTGTTTGTTGGTTTGTTTTATTTGGTGGGGGATGGAGAGCGGCGCAAGGAGGATAATCTTGGAAATGAAAACCCCAAATGTCCCACATTTTCATAAAAACTGTCGGGGCCGGGCGCGGTGGCTCAAGCCTGTAATCCCAGCACTTTGGGATGCTGAGGCGGGTGGATCACGAGGTCAAGAGATCGAGACCATCCTGGTCAACATGGTGAAACCCCGTCTCTACTAAAAAACACAAAACATGAGCTGGGCATGGTGGTGCGTGCCTGTAATCCCAGCTACTCAGGAGGCTGAGGCAGGAGAATTGCCTGAACCCAGGAGGCGGAGGTTGCGGTGAGCCGAGATCGCGCCATTGCACTCCAGCCTGGGTAACAAGAGCGAAACTGTGTCCCCCCAAAAAAACAAAACAAAACAAAACAAAAAACTGTCAACCCCTGGCAGAGGGCGGTGCCTCACACCTGTAATCCCAGCGCTTTGGGAGGCCAAGGCGGGCGATCACCTGAGGTCAGGAGTTCGAGACCAGCCTGTTCAACATGGTGAAACTCCCCCCATCTCTACTCCATCTCTACCAAGAATGCAAAAATTACCCGGCACAGTGGCTGGCGCATGTAACATCAGCTACTACTGAGGCTAAGGCAGGAGAATCGCTTGAACCCGGAAGAGGCTGCAGTGAGCTGAGATGGTGCCACTGTACTCCAACTTAGGTGACAGTGACCCTGTCTCAAAAAAAAAAAAAAAAAAAGGACACAGAAAAAGCAAAAGTTACAGAAAGGTGTAAATTTTTTTCAAAAAACGATTCCTCTTTCCAAAGCCCATCTTCCAGCCTTTCCCCAAAAAGTAACCAGTAACCAGTTAAATATCTCTGTACTTTTTCAGAAAAAATGCTTACATTAGTGTACATGTTAATTTTAGAATTTATCTCACAGAGATTTTTTTTGCCTGTCATCCTGAATTATTTTAATCACATCATTACCACTTTGTTTTTTTGTTTTTTTTCTTTGAGACAGGGTCTCTCTTGTTACCCAGGCTGGAGTGCAGCGGCATGATCATGGCTCACTGTAACCTCGAACTCTTGGGCTCAAGCAATTCTCCCACTGTGGTCTTCTGAGTGTCTGGGGCTGCAGGTGTGTGCCACCATGCCTGGGTAGTTTTAAAATTTTTTTTGTAGAGAGGTGTTCTGTGTTGCCCAGACTGGTCTTGAACTCCTGGCTTCAAGTGATGCCCTGCCTCTGGGTCTCAAAGTGCTGGGATTACAGGCAAGAGGCACTGCACTGGGCCTATTTTTATGTACGTTTTTTGTTTAGCTTTGTTTTGGAGATGGACTTTTGCTCTTGTTGCCAAGGCTGGAGTGCAATGGCACAATCTCAGCTCGCCAAACCCGGGTTCAAGCGATTCTCCTGCCTCAGCCTCCTGAGTACCTGGGATTACAGGCACGCACCGCCACACCCGTTTAAATTTTTTGCTATTTTTGGTAGACATAGGTTTTTCTCCATGTTGGTCAGGCTGGTCTCCAACTCCTGACCTGAGGTGATCCGCCCGCCTTGGCCTCCCAAAGTGCTAGGATTACAGGCA